CCCCCCCCCCCCCCCCGCTCGAAAGCGTTGGGCGCGCTCACCTCCCAGTAGAGGGCGGTGGGCTCGTTGCCCAGGCAGCGCTGGGCCGTGGAGGCGTCTCCGTAGTAGCAGCAGAACGTGGCAGCGAGCTGCTCGCACGCGCTGCTGTTGCCGCTTGTTTCGGCCGCGGGGTAGGCCTCCCGGCACGTCAAGCTCCCGCCGGAGGTGGTAAGGGACTGACACTCTCGGCAGAGGTCGTCCGTTCCGCACCAGGCGTCGTCGCTGTCGCAATAGTCGTAGGTGGACGTGTCGGAGTAGCTGCTGGTGGTGGTGGTGCTGATTGTGGTGGCGGTACTGCTGCTGAAGGGGAAAGCTTCGTCGTCGTGGCCCAAGGCCTCGCCGTCGTCGTCGTTGTAAGCGACGGCGGCGCTGTTGATGGCGGTGCTGCGTCTGACGGGGAACGGTTCGGGGAACGGTTCGGGCTCGTCGTCGTCATTCCCCAAGGCGTGGTCGTCGTCGTCGTTGTACGCGATGGCGGACTTCGTCAGCATTGTTGACGGAACACGCGAAGTAGAAGAAGAAGAAGAAGAGGAGGCTTTGGTTGGGGTTCCTTTAACAGCTGATTGGGCCAAGCTCATGGTGGGGCGTGTGGTCAGTAGAAGCGTCAGGAGGAGGAGGAGAGAATCCGCCCCTCGCCGCATGCCTGTTGCTCCTGCTGCTGGCCCCCACGAACGCTGCCGATGTGGCGCGATTGTTGTTGTGCTCCGCTCCGCTCCCGACCCCATTGCTGGTCGCTCTGCTTCAATCCCCCGAGATCTGCGAAAAAAACAAAAGTATGCAGCACCCGCGATGCAATACGTTGAAGTTTTCGCCGAATATTTGAACCGTGCACACGGGCTTCAATGTTGTTGGAATTTCGGGATTATTCCGAAACACGTATCTGCGTTGCACGTACAAGCATCGGTTCCTGCACCTCCCGGGACACATGGTCGGATTCTGAAGATCGACACAACCAGTTTGTCTTCTCCCGCCCGTCACCCACAGGGTACCTCCTGTTGTGTCAGGATTATCGAAGCTTGAAATGTCGGCGGCGGGGTATGCGTTGCGTTGTTGCCGTCTTAACATTTTAACCGTTCTCCCCTGATGGTCTAACTGACGCGGGCGCCTCCCGTGCTCGCAAGCCAACTACAGCCAAAGAGTGCATACACTCATGAAATAGTTCGTCACCTCTGCCCTATTTCCTGAATAGTTCGTTTCTGTCTATCACAAAACACGGTACCGTCCGAAATGGATTGTTGTGAGCCTGTATACGGTCCGATTTAGCACATCGGAGTCATGACTGCGGATTGTGCGAGGATTTGCGAGGAATAGGCATTAAAAAACTACATTTGTAGACTAGAGGTTGACACCGCTTCTGTACAAGTTAATGTGAAGCCAACAACAGCATATTTATTGTTTTCGTGATTTTGCCTCTAAAGCTCAAGTCTGCCCAACATCGGCGACAAGCTGACCACCTTACGCTCAATAATGTGCTACCTCAATTGAAGCGCCACTCGCTCACCCGGAGCATCGTGCAACCCTACAAGAAATACATGCAAAGATTTATGTTGTATTGTTTGCCTGATGTTCCGTTTCGTTTGGCAACGCTTCTGTTTTTGTACATCTGGCTGTCTGCCCATCTGCCGCCTCTTGTCCTGTTTGCTCCGTTACTCCCATGCCCTGGTGCGTAGTCCCTGGTGCTGATACGTTACCCTTCTGAGTTATTTCTTTAGGCGGGTGTGGGAAGCGTCCTCCTTTATTTTTGTCTTGGTTGTATTTGATCGGTTTCCGAGGGCTCTTTTCTCGAACGGTCGGTGCGGCACGTGTTCTTTTCTTTCTGGTTTTCTTTTTCCGAGTGGTTTGTACCCTGTTTTTGTTTTGTTTCCCCGCGGCGTCGTGTGTGCAGGGTTTTGAGACCACGGGCTCCCGATTTTCGTGGACTATCGAGCTAATGTGAGAAACAAGAACAAACAACAAACAACAAACAACAACATAAAATAACCAACCTTCAATGTGTGCAATCTATCTCCTGTGTGTAATCGTTCGCCGCGAGAGGCCTCGACAATATCCGCTCCAAATTCGGAAAAGGGTCGTCTGTCGTCTGTCATGCCACTCTTGCTGTAGAATAATAAAGGTAGAGTGTTCCAGGCGGTGGGCGCCGGTGTGATGGCAAAAACACGGCCGTTACCAGCTGTAGCGAGACGATTCAAGGCGCCATAGAAAGCGCTGTCACGCTTGGAAATACGATGCTGCATCATCCGTCCCTTGGACTTTGCTTCAACAAACATGACGACAGAACAAAGAGCAGTCTGCAGGTGTGTCCAGCTTTTCCTGTTGATCATCTGATGATTAAACATAGGGACAGGGCAGTTTGACAGTGTGAATGTAGTTTCAAGGGCAATAATAAAAAACGTAATGCATAGTCTACCTCTCCTGGCGTATAACTTAGTTTGCCGTTTCGTCTACACAGTCGTATGGGCAAGACATATTGAGGAAGATTGCGCATCTCACTCCAACTACATCAATAAGCCGAGCAGCACGTGTGACCTACTAAGAGTGAGAGAACAAACGTTGTGTGCCGCAGTACATCTAGGTCTGTGTGCATGTTACAACGAATCATAGTTTCGCGTCTGTGGAGCAACGTGTTTGGCAACCAATGTCGGTACAGCAGCAGTGCTTCTATGAGTTGGAATGTGTTGTTGATCTCTATCATCTCTTTTCGGTGATACATTACTTTTGTTGGCGATCCGACACGACCGCACAGAGCCGGCGACACCTTGTTGAAAAAACATCGCGAAGCCACTCGCAGACGGTTTGTGTGGACAGAGGTGCAACGTGAGGTGGAACACGGCGCAAAATTGAGCGGAACGCTCTGTGCGGGTGGCCAAACATCAAGCGCGTAAATTGTCCCTGCCAGCTACTACTGTTGTAGCTGCGGGGCTGAACATGGACCACGCACGACCAGCGAACCGAAAAATAGACCAACGGCGACCATTGCGTACAGCAGTGGTAGATGAGGCTGGACGATATTGTTGTGGTAGACTACAAATACAAAGCAGCAAAGATCCTGAAAATGCTTGACCCCACCGTTGTTGACTCTCTAAGACTAATGTACAAGTTCACGTGAGCACGGCCGATTGAAGGGCTGAAGAGGTGAAGTTCACTCACGGCCGGTGCTACCGACCACGGCCACGACGAGGCTTTCCCGCGAAATTCGCACCAACGCAACACATCACAGGCTACATGTATCAGGTGTACCTTTCCTTCTTTCCAACAACAGCAGTGTGGCCTGCGGCAGGCAGTGATTGGACAGCGTGCGTCGTGTGCAAACGAGTTCAGTGGCAACGGTGTGCCACATAAGCCGCTGGATTGAGCAACCTTCCGGACGAGCTCTCCTGCGCACACATGTGCCCAGCAGCTAAGATACCATATAAAACAGACAAGAGAGGCACGACCAATGACCGTCAACGGCTATTCGTTCGGTGTTGCACCAAGCGGCAGCTGAAGCGACATCGACGGCAGTTCGCTGCAAACGCAGGGCGGTGTTCTCACCTTATAAGGTGAGGGCTATAGCCTCTCTCCAGCCAAAGAAGAAATGATATACACAGCAGCTGAGGTCCGAAAGCAACCCGGTCCCGCGCAGCAGTTTTTGTAGTAGCTCCGCAAACACCTCCCGACTCCCGACCCGAATTGATGGGTCTCCCAAGAGACAAGTTCCTGATGGGGACAGATGGTCATGCGGACCACGGATCGATGCGTAGAGAAGGGTTTGCGCCAGATGACGGAACGGAGCGTGTTCGGAGAAGCTGAGAGTCTCAACTCGTTCGTGTGGGCGTTGCTCCAGCAGGTGGATTGGAACCGTCCGTGTACATAATTCCCACATGAGTGGTACACCATGTGCTGAAGCGTCTCGCCCAACCGCGCGCCTCGCGGAGCGCAGTCGTAGGAGACAGGGGAGGCGATGAGCGCAGCAGCGGCAGCAGCATCACCTAATTTGTGGACGGAGGGAGATCGAAGCCCATTCGAACAAAAGCTTCTATTATTCGAACATTCGCACGCGAAGACAACAACAAAGACAACAACAACGCAGAGTCAACCACTGGCTGTTAGAGATTCGAGAAAAAAAAAATAGGGCGGGATAACTTTAGCATGATGAAGAGGAGGGCCAGCCTTGTGCATTTTTCGACACAAGACAACACACCACCACCTCCCGCCTTCAGACACCTGACAAACACGCCGGAAAAGCTCCACAGAGCCAACACAGCAGGGGTTCGTTAGTGAACGACCCGGTACCGGTAAGGCACATATAGGACAAACGGCAGCAGTAATTGAGATGACGCTTTTGCGATGTGATGTGCAGCACACGTGCAGCCGAATGATCACCACACCTGTTTGTTGTTGCATGATGTGGTCGTATTGATATAGATGTAGCTGCCGTATCGGCCGTGTCGGCGTAGGGGTGGTTGTAGACAGGACTAGAGAAGCAACTCTCGAGAGTGGGAGCGTCGGTCGGGGGTGGCGCGGTAACCACGGACGGTTAGGATAGGGGCGCCGCGATCGTGCTGCTCTCCCTCTCTTAGAAAACAACGGCAAGGTAGTCCCTGCCAGACATGAGGGTCCTAGCGCGCCAAACTGACTTGTGTGCAGCAGGCAGGGCCATGCCTCTCTCTCTCTCTCTCTCTCTCTCTCTCTCTCTCTCTCTCTCTCTCCACCAAGACAGACACGCGACCGATCACAGGCAGTCGAGTTGTTGAGTCGCAAAGCAGCGGTACGTGCAACATGCATGATCTAATGTTCGGCGCGCTCTCGCCCGCTTTCTTGCGAGAAGGATTTTGCATTCAGGAACCATCAAGTCGGAATCATCTCCCCTATCTGTAAGAGAGAGAATAGGTATGCACGGGAGTACAAGGTGCAACAGCAAGGCGAGCATGCCAACACGCTCCTATCACACACACACCGCCTCTGGTACGCTATGTAGTTCGCCAACACCTGTGCGCACTGGTAAAATCATTTTCGTGGGGCGCAAGCATGGCCATTTCCCGAAATCCGTCGTCGTTGAAGTTAACGGACGTTGATCGAGAACCAAATATTCTTTCCATAGGCACAAAAGACTCCAGCTATTGTCCCTGAGATGGCGTTTTCGCGCGCTCTCGCGAACACGCGTCGCCGCTGCTTCGTTTTGCCACTGGTGCGGCGGCTAGCCTGTGCTATGATAGCACCTCATTACCAAGGTGCTGTTTAAAGTGCCGTGCTCTGTTCTCATTCCTCTCCATCAGTCACCCGGTGGTGATATTTATTTACATTCTCCATGGCCGACGCGAGAGGAATTTTGTTCGCTATGTCTTCAATGTGGCAATACTACTTGCGAACGGGAGAAGAGAACAGGAAAAAAAGCACCCATGCTGCCGGCCTCGCCAGAGGAGAGTAGTTTTTACTCGAGCTCTTCATCATGCCACCAATCCGATTCTCGAACGTTTTTTCTCAAGAACGTCAACCTGTGGAATGCTCTTCGAGAAAAAGCTTGAATCGTGAAAATGTAAGCAAGTCGTTTATTCTGTTTTTCTTTCAGAGGAACAACACGCCAGCAGCGGCGGTCGTG